AATGGGTCCCAAAGCAGAGGTGTATGATGCAGAGATGGTAGCGCTCCTTCGAGCAATATCGCGAGCTATCAGCTTCGCGCAAAATTCCCAGGTGACCCATTTACATTTCTACGTCGATAACAACTCTGTGGTGCAGGCTGCATATGCAGCTGCACCCGGACCCTCACAATACATTGCATTACAGATCAGACGCTCGATCGAAGACTACCTAACCACATCCCCCCTCCATCATGTCCAAATTGCATGGATCCCAGGACATCACAACATCATCGGCAACGAACGTGCCGACGAGCTTGCAAAAGAAGCCACTGGACGTAACGACTCGTACCACTCGACCTATGCAAATGCGCGCCGAAGAAACAAGGAAGGGATCTTGCAGAAATGGACAGAGAGTTGGAATAGAGACGTGGCAGCACAGACTGGACGCTTCGCTCTCGCAAATCGACTCCCACCAACGCTCAAACCCCGCCAACATTTCACTCACACTCCTCGAGAAGTATACGGCCGTCTTATACAATGCCGCACAGGACACGGATTCATGGGAGAATACTACGCTGCATTCGTTCCAACCGAACCCACCCTCTGCCCATGTGGAGAACCACGTCAAACACGAGAACATATCATACGTGACTGCCCACTATTTGCGCGACAACGCATCCATCTGCGTGAGGTATCACACAACATCATACTCAACGAAATTTTGGGTACGGAGAAGGGCATAAAGGCACTAGCGAAGTTTATTCAAGAATCCAGCGCATTAAAGAAGGTCGCACTGGAACGAGAAGGAGACTGGGAAGAAAGGAGAGGGACAGAAGCCTGAGTAAGGGCAAAGAAGGAAGTGACGAGGGAAGGAGGAGACGAGGAGAGATCAGAAGGAGGAGGAAGGAGAGAAAGTGTATCATATTATACTAAGCCTGGACACCAAACGAGCCCACACGCACACCAAAACTCATCAAACGCGGACCGCTTGGCTATTCGTACTATACCTACATCCCTCACCCTGTTACAACACTCCCCAGCACAGCCCTAACAGGGCACCGCGTCTTAACAGCTCACTTTGTTTGTTGCGGTATATAAATATAGAATTTCTCTCTCTCTCTCTCGATATCAGAGGGCCGTAAAAGTTTGATTCAAACTGCACTCCCCGTTTGGACTAGGCCAGTAACCTCTATCGTACACTCAGGCTACTATCACTCCTGGGAATCTGCAACTGGCATGTAATATGCAAAATGTTCAAAACACCTCAATGCGCTGCTTGAATCACCTCGAAAAAATTCATGTGTATGTAGGCTACTTAGAGATGATGTACTGTCCAAGTAGAATAAAATTTTCTTGAGTGTTGCAGCTGCGAGAGACAGGATAGTGGTGATTTGCAACCTTGTATAATCATAAATGATCCAGATCCCATAGATCCTAGAGAGATATTCAAAAAGTTACACCCGGAGCATATCAAACACCTCGTCAGGGTGTCAGAACACAATTTCGATAGAGGCCATTCTCTTGTTTTAAGATGCTATAGACAGAGGATTGACGACATGTATGAAAGCGTGACAGCAGATAGGAGAGTGTGTAAGAAATTCAATCTCCTCTAAGTGAAAGTTGACAGTGCCGCTACTACTGTGCCGATGTGTGACACGACGTGACCATGTTTTGCAGAATACCAGTCAGACCCTGAATTTTCTCGGCCTTCATCCGACACTCCACCACAAAATCCTTAAAATCAGCAAAAATCAGATTTATATAGAGCAGCTACGAATCTATAATGGTGCAAATCCGTAGAAGAAAATATGATGTGGTTGAGGAGTTACAAAAGATTTATTGAAAATGTTGCAGAACCCCAGGAGTGATAGTAGTAGTCCTCTCCACCAATGAGAGTGCTCGCTTAACGTTGACGAAAGCTAGGGAAAGCTTCAAATTGTCAGCGTAAATAGAGGCTCTCTCAGATGAAGATCTTCCATCACATTTGATCATCCAACTTTGTAGTACTTTAGAATTACTGTGCAGAGAACTATATTATCAATTATGGTGCAATTGTGTAAGATAGTAAGTATTGCGAAGTGACCAAGTGAGTGATCTGGCCGAATGAGTGGTAACCGATGTAACTCCTGCTTCGCCTGTTGCTTCACCAACATCTCAACAATGAGCAAATGTCGAGAATAGACCTCCAGCACCATCGATGATGACCAACACCATTTTCCCGCGGTATGCTGCATAGAACGCGCGTCAGCGCGAGCATAGTGTATGAGAAAGTAGATGGCAAATACCTTTCGCTATCTCTAATCATATTTCGCACGGCTACGCAAGTAGGGTTGATGCAGATGTCATTAACTGGCAATTCCAAGCAATTTTTTACAATAAGGTTGCGCAGAATTTCCCTGGAGGTTGAAATGCGATGAGCGAGGGCGTCTGGCATGCCTCGGTAGCTGTGTAGCGTTGTGACGCATGCGTGGTCTTGGAAATGCATGCCACGACTCTTGAAGTCCTTTCCATTGGTAGTCCACCAGCTCTCCATATCTCTCTCGATATCCAATCCTGTGACGACGACGACGATAGGGACCTTCTTCTTGCAGATCGCAGAGTAGAAAAGATTGTAGTTTCGAATAAGGGCGCGACGGAGTGTCGTGCAGCGCACACAGTACACCAGAAGTCCGATGCCTTCGGATCCAGCGCTCGTGAGCTCGCGTAGCAGACCCTTCAATTTCTCTTTGTCCAGCGCTGTGCTCGCCGTCTCCTCATTGAGACCCGCAATATCAAACAGGGCAAATCTCTGGCTAGCGATTGTTACTTCATCGCGTTGATAGTTAAAGGGGCAAGCAGTTGCATTACTAGATGTCTGCACAGCCGAGTTTTGCGCTATTGCATTGAGGACTGAACTCTTGCCTGAGCTGCGTTCACCAAAGAGGATAACATTTATGGTCTGCCAGATTTTACCAGTAAGCTTTCTTTGCGGTGATGCGGTTCAAGAAGTAGGGCACATACTTTGTGTTTGCTCGATGACGCGTGTGAATGTAGCGGTGAAGGTGATTTTCTCCGTTCAGGTCCCAAGATGCTAGCCAATCGGACTGTCCCCGGGCGGTGCGCAGCTTGATGAAGCCCCGTGCTGCGCCGGTCATCATGCCGCTCGCTGTCCTGACTCGAAGAAATCGAGCGCGAGTCGGGTGTGTCTCTGTGGAGTAATTTGCTCTCATAGGGGTCGGAGGGATCGCCGTGGTGGTTGGGGTGGAGAGTATTGGATAGGACGCTCAGGTATGGTGGCTGGATATGCCAGATTGCATCAGTAAGCTTTGTTTGAGATGAATGTGGCGCAAGAAGTAGGGCACATACTTTGTGGTTGCTCGATGACGCCGGTGATGGTAATCGTGTCTGATGAGTATTTGAGATGGACATCGTATAGAAGATTTAACAATGTGAAGAGGAATCAGATATAATAGAAGTATGAAGGACTGGCGTTAAGTCTTGCATTTGGGTTGAATTTGTGCAGAGTTGGCAGTGGTTGAAAGACCCCCAACTCCACGGGGAAATTCTGGAGACCGATGATGCAGCATGGGATTGAAATGTAGCTTGTTGCAATGCTGAAGCCTCGAGGTCACAGCCATACATTGATGGATGTCGTGTACTTTGTGTGTACTTGACGCACTATAGCCACTTGAAGAAGAAAAAATTCAATGGATCTCAGCTCGCGTGCCAGGGCGCAAGCACAATGATCCGCTGCGCCTGTTAGTATGTATGCATACCCCGGTACCCGCACTTCGGCAACGCAGCTATATTTCTCCAGTGGTCCAGTATAAACAAGTGCTGTATTAGTCAATTTTTGGGAGCAGCAGATAAAGCTCAACTGAAGCAGAGTCCTGTCCTGTGGAAATAGACGACCCTGACCTTCGTTTGAAATTGATACTTAGCACTCGAAACATTGCAGCGCTGAAGCCTCGAGGCGCAGCCATAAAGCTGAACAGGTTGGCGGCCAGGTGTGACAGTGTGACAGGGCTACGAGATGAGATACGTAGACACGATGCCATTGGTCGACGTCTATATCATTCCGTCTGGACCTTGATTGCCTCATGTTCGATGCGTCTGATTTTGGTCTAACTATGACTCAAGCTGAGGAGCTGCATAAAACACTGGTAGGCTTCTTCAAGTTTGATGTTAGATTATTGACGGCATCACAGCAGCAAAGTAAGTCATATAAGTAGTTTGGGGACTATTTCTCTCCCACTTCCTCTAGCGCTATGTGCAATACAACCCCAAATATGCAAAGTGGGTCTTCACGGCCCAGTCCCACACCTGTCGATACCGACTTGCCGACCAGCGAGTAAGTAGCAAGTTAGAATGAGCCGAGACTAACACTTAGTATATGAGCTTACAGGGATGGAATCCAGCCGCACGTGGCGAGCGAGGAACATGCGGTGTCCATAGAGAGAAGCCTTGCTCAGAATATGTGAATGCTAAATGTTCAGCACGGTACACTTGACGTCTGACTATATCTTGTCGAAGGTCAAACACCCTGGAGCAGACCTTCGATGTCCTCCGAGAGTCTACTATTACGGATGAACGCGGGAACAATGTCAATTCGAAGTTTTGGGCAACGTACAAGAAAGTTTCGAATGAGTATGACGACGACTTCTTCGAGCGGGCGAATGATGATATGGGAATCATCCTGACTTTTGTGAGTCCGCGTCTATGAATGTTGATGTAATTCTGACCGGCGAACCAGGCTGGTCTATTCTCAGCTGTCAACTCTATCTTCATCGTCGGAATGCAGCTTAATCCGGGATACACCACCAATTACCTCCTGCTGCACCTGATCCAGATCACTGCCAACGGCACAAATTCCGTACCTGACATCAGCAAACTTTCCTCGTCCACGGACTATTCGTCTTCGACCGTCTGGATGCAGACACTCGCCTATGCTAGCCTCTCGTTTAGCATCTTGGCCGCGTTCGGGGCTGTCTTGGGAAAACAATGGCTCAACTCCTACAAGGCAGCTCGGGGACGAGGGTCTCTGGAGGAACGCAGCATACAGAGGCAGATGAAGTTGGACGCGATAGAATATTTTCGCCTGGAGACTGTCTTGCAAGCATTCCTCGTGCTCCTCCAGATCTCGCTACTGCTCTTCGGCCTTTCGCTAAGCACCTACGGATTCACCCGGCAAAGGGAGATGTCCAGTGTCATCATCTATGCCACCGCTTTCGGCATTCTCATCTATGCAGGCATGATCGTCCTGTCAGTGTGGCGTCCGGATAGTCCTTTCCAGACACCAGGGTCGCAGCAAATTGCAGCCATCTGCAAAAAAATCCTTCCAGTCAGATCGACTGTGACTCCTAGCATAGTCGGTAAATTGTCCGCGATACGCTGGATACTAGAGATATCAACGACCCTGGAAGCTATTGAGGCTGCGGCTGCAATGATACTTCTCGTGCAATGGTCGCGGAACATTGATGCCTCAGCAGCATATGCCCATTTACGTGATCATTTCGTGGCATGTCGTGACGAGGAGGAGCTATATGTGAAGTATGGCAAGGGTATGGCCTATCTTTGCAGCCAGTCAACGACAATCAACCCAGAACTTCTTCAGAAGTTTGATTGGGATTGCTGGGGAGGGAGGAGTCGTTTCATTCGCGACGCATTCATGGCTGGCCGTGACGCCTACCATCGGTTTCAGAATCCACAGCAAATTGAAGCTCCACGGAAACATCGGGCCGATGCACGCACCGCTCTGAGAACGATGGTTGTCCACGGTCTGGACACTCGTCTTTCACTTCCGGACGATGAACAATTGATCTGGAATGGTGATATTCGATGGCGCCACCGTGACGGGAATGAGCCCGATTGTGAAGAATTTGACTGGCTCATCGATTATCTAGCGGACGAAGCAGAGAATGACCTGGACGATGAAACAGAAGGTGATGCCATACTTGCACTGAGCGCCATGGAGGGACTAGGGAGTCCTGCCAAGCGATCTTCCTACATCAGCTCGCTTATTCGTTGTATGGCCCCTACCAGACCTTCCCGAGTCCGGTATGCCGCGCTGAGAGCTGTTTTTGATGCTCGAGGAGAACTAGTTCCGATGCCACAGGATGTCGATGGGGAACTCCTGGACGAGCTTTCTTATGCTCTTTTAACTGCTGTGTGGCCAGATCACGAGCAGACAATCCAAGGTAGTTCACCCGACACCACTTTCCACGAGGATCGCGACCTCTGCTACCTCCGCCTCATCTCTCTCCTCACAAAGCATGACGAGTGGTGTCAACGCCTGATCCGTGATGGCCATGTCGAGCGGTGCATTTCTCTTGTTGACCAAGTCTATTCACGGCAGGTTAACTCCGCCGGATGCTACCTTCTCGTGATCTTCGGACACATGGATCCCTCGGGCAAGCATATTCTTTTCAACCCTGCCGAGCACTGGTGGCGAGAACGCTTTCAAGAAACATGGCAAGACGCACACTCTTATATGAGCCGCTACGTTGATGGAATAGAAGCCCTCGTGACAACGACGAGGCTGAATTGTCTAGGGTCAGATCATGGTGTTTGGAGAGGGTGGTTAGCAGATCTAGCGCAAGAGGTGCACGAGACTTTGGTCACACTGCAGCGGAGCCAAGCAACCCTGGTGAATGAATTCGGTGTAGCTCAGGCTACAGTTGACACTGCAACATCCTCTGTGCAGGGCTTGTACGCCGAGCTAAGTCACATGATAGAGTACCAGAACACTTGACAATGGGTCGTGAAGGGAATAGGGGTCAGTGATTTTACGCATTTCTTACGCAGGTCGCAATTTATTCTCATCCTCAGATTATCATCTACAAATCGCCTCGCAAAGGGACAACTTTCCCATGCTTCTAGTAGACCACGATACCATTTGAAATGGTCGGGGTGACACTTAGGTCCAACCAACTTCTCCAGTTCGTCTCCATGAGCAATAGATTTCGAGTACATATTCGGCCGAAAGCAAGAAAGATATTACAAATACGTGGTGAGTATGGACGTCCTCTGCTCGTTTACCATTTACTACTGTGCCCAGAGCTACGTTCTCGTAGAGGCTTCCGGGGAAGACTGGTGCAGATGCTGCGCCTTGAGCCACACCGACGATTTGGCGCGACATGTACGCGGTGTCGATGTATCGCACATCCTACTCGTCGAGAAGTACATAACTAGATGTTGGGTTGTAAACACCTACGAGGATTGCACCGAGAGTGGATTTTCCACAACCGCTTGATCCAACGATGAATGTCGTCTCATGTGCGGGAAGGTACATGGTTACGTCGCAAAGGACCTGGACATCATGTCATGAGGGATATGCGAAGCTCACGTCAGTCGCTGCTGAACGACTAGGGCTGGATCTTCTGGAGTTGGCGACGTCGTTTTGAAGATAGTTGATGTGCGCCTGAGATCATTCCCGCGAGCTCTGTAGCGGCGACTTTACCCTTGACGAAAGGGATGAGGAGGGGTACGGCCATTTGGAGGTTGCTCGTTGCGATGAGACACGCGTGGAAGACGTTCATGACTTGACTGGGGGTATTCTCATCTGATGTCCCGTGTCCATCGGCCGCAAGGCTTTGCCATCAGGCAAGAACGTTCTTCATTGATGTATCGACCTTGATAGCAGCGCAGCAATCGAACTATATATTTCCACCGTGTCTCCCTTCCTTCTCCCACCTCCATGTTTACACCACCCCACAACATACAAGACGCGTCATCGCAATCCAATCCCGCAGCTGTCGATATCCCTTCTTCTACCTCCATGTCCACCCCAGGCCAAAACATGCTAAGTCCGTCATCACCATCTAGCCCCGCACCTGTTGATATTGACTTCCCAGCCACTGAGTAGGTAGTAAGCTAGACTGAGCGCCGCGTACACTTATGGACTCACAGTGATGGGATCAAGCCGCATGCAGCGAGCAAGGAACTTGCAGTTGCCGTGTCTATTGCGGGAGGCCTTGGTAAGAATATGTATGTGAATGTCACAATCAGCGCTGTACACTTGACGCATGGCTATATTGCGTCACAGGTCAGACACCCTGGAGCAGATCCTCGATGTCCTTCGAGGGTCCACTATTGCTGAAGAACGTGAGTCGAAGTTCTAGGCGACTTACAAGAAAGTTTCGAATGAGTACGACAACTTCCTCGAGCGGGCAAATGACGATCTGGGTATCACCTTGACTTTTGTGCGTTTGTTTCTATGTATGTCGATGCAGGTTGGTCTATTCTCAGCTGTCAACTCAACCTTCATCATCGGAATGTCTCCTGCTGCATCTGATCCAGATTACTGCTAACGGCCCAAATTCCGTACCGGACATCAGCAATCTTTCCTCGTCCATGGGCTATTCGTCTTCCACAGTCTGGATACAGACGCTTGCCTATGCTAGCCTCGCGTTTAGCGTCTTTCCTGCGTTCGGAGCTGTCATGGGGAAGCAGTGGCTTAACTCTTACAAGGCAGCTCGGGGACGAGGGACTCTGGAGGGACGCGGCATGCAGAGGCAGATGAAGCCGGATGGGATACAGTATTTTCACCTGCAGACCGTCTTGCGGGCATTCCTGGTGCTCCTCCAAATCTCGCTGCTCCTGTTCGGCTTGTCACTCAGCGCCAACATGTGGACCCAGCAAACGACGATATCCAACATCATCGTCTCCAGCACTGCCTTCGGCATCCTCTCCTACACAGGAACTGTATTCGTGTCAGTGTGGCATCCAGCCACCGGGGTCGGAGCTAGCCGGGGCCTTCTGCAGAACATTCCTTCCACTTGGCTCAATGACTCCTAATATATTCATCAAATCGCCCGCAATACGATGGATACTAGAGACATCAACGAACCTGGAAGTTATCGAGGCCGCGGCTGCGATGGTACCTCTCATGCGATGGCCGTCGAAGTGTGACGCTTCAGCAACATACGCACGATTACATGATAATTTCAAGGCTTTTAGTGACAGGGAAGAGCTATATGGCAAGGCCATGGCCCATCTTTTTAGCCAATCGGTGAAACTTAATCGACTGTATCTTCATCTGGCGGATTTCATGTGCGATCGTTTGGGAGGCAGCAAGTAGTTTCATTCGCGACGCGTTCATGAATGATCGTGACGCCTTCCATCAGTATAAGAATGCACAGCAAGACGATGCAAGACGGAAGCATTGGGCTAATGCACGTACCACTCTCAAAACGATAGTTGTCCACGGACTGCGGGAACTTCTTGCACTTCTAGACGATGAGAGATTGATTTGGGATGGTGATCTGCACTGGCGTCACAGTGATAGGCATGAGCCCGGTTGTGAAGAATATGACTAGCTCATTGATTACCTGGCGGATGAAGGAGAGAACGGCACAGACGATGAAATAGAAGGCGATGCTTTGTTTGTACTGAGCACCATGCAGGGACTAGGGAGCTCTGCCAAACGACCTATATCAAGGCGCTTATCCGTTGTATGAACTCGACAATGATGGACAGTTGAGTACACAATGAGAAGGTATGCCGTAAACGTGACCACGTACCTTCCGCTCTGGATCGTACTCGATCCATTTCCCCTGAATCATAAGTTCGATCTGGAAGAGGACGAGAGGGGCGGTAGTCGCGATGTAAAGGCGGGGAGAGTGACGAAGGAAGAAGAGGGGGGAGAGCCCGGTGCCGAGCATAACATGACTGGGATATGAATCTGTTATTCAGACACGGCGTGTGATAAAGAATTTACTGATGTAACTGAGCGAACACGAGAATAACTACCCATTGACTTTAATTTAAAAGCAGGCGAATACAGAAAACATCACCAAGAGTCACGGGATTCGCGAACGTTGCAGATGGTAGGGTCGGATTACCGTAAAAACAGCTGGAATTACAGGCGGAGGAGACGACAAGGGCATCTGCTGGAAGAGGTAAGCTTTGCTACCATGAGAGATGTTTAGAGGATGCAGGGGGAACGCATCGGTATCAGGAGTGATAACCATGAATAGGATCTATAAGCAGGGGACAGTGACGGTATATTAGAGTTGGTGACGCGTGTAGCCTTGCATAAGGTGATCAGTTTAAATGATGGAACCGACTGGTCCAGATCGCGCCAGCACTAAGCTGCTGCTAGGGCCCCGGCCCTTAGGGCGGACTTAGTCTCCCGTACTAGTCAAATAGAAGGAAGACAATCATTCCTTCTTTTTTCACAGGGCGGACTCAGGTACAAAGCCTTTGCACAACAATAGACAACAATGCAGAACCACGCGCGTCGCGCTAACCACGCTGCGCATATTGCATTGTGCACACGTTTGATATCTAGCCTATTATCGCAAAACTTGAGCTTGCGGTTGGGTAAGGTGAGCACGCACGTCAGAGCTCTGATATTGCGAGTGGCAGATCTTTCAAACCCCAGAGGCTGAGGCTCCCCCGGGTGGAATGGAATACACACCATGATTACTTATAAGCCAGACCCCGTGTTCGAAGGACAAGGCGGTTGGCTCACAAGCAATCACATCTTCTCAAACCACAGAGACCAACTATGTCTCCGCATCCCCCATTCTGTGCCAGGAGAGTAGTGAAGCATGCTATGAATTCACGGTCTTTAAACCGAGTTCTAACATTGCTTTAACAACAAGACCAGAATACTTACACATGCTATGATTAACCGTGATCGATTTATCAGTCGTGACTCATGAGCCAGCCCAGCAGCCCCTTGTTGAAGTTGCTTGTTACATCCCCAACCTCGACAAGGGAGTTGGTTCACAACACTACGTCTACAAGGCTACAACTTCCCCGAACCTGTGGACACATAACTCTCTCGAATGGTCATGGCGACTCGAACGCGAGGGTGTGTTTCCACTGGCAGCTCATGTTTTAAAATTAAATTGGTGCCATGCGTTCGTCTTCAAAGACACTGTGTTGTTCTCTTCGTGTACTGATATACACGTTTCTCAGTCATTATGTTCCCAGGACTGCATAGTCTTTGATCTATATACCGCAGAACTTGAGCTTGAAGGCGCGCGCACTCAACTCCGGTGACTAGCCCATGGTATTTGATACATATTGCGAGTGACAGATCTGACTAACTACATTAAGTCTGCCTCCCAATCCTGCCCCGTGAGATCATCGAAGCATGTCCTATGATTGTACGAATCGGCGGACTTGAAAAGTCACCATGTGGGCTCTCCCGCAAGGTGGAACAGTCGTGAGCCTTGGCGATCCTCGAAGTGCTTGTTCGCATTCCCAACCTCGACGAGGCGGAGACTACGCCATGATGAGCACTGCAATTATGGTGACCAAGCTACGCGTTGTTCGTTCACGCTTTGCAGCTATTCATACCACGCTGTAAGTGCTCTTCATCCCCCAAGGACTTGCTTCAACAATGTGACTTCGGCCATTACGGCAAGCGGACATCGCTGCGACGTTATCCGTGTAGTACTAACTACAGTCACCAAATCCTGAAGTTCAGTTTGTCTCCGTGGTCGAATTACAACTTTCTCTACACACACGTACATTCTTCACCAAGGACGAAGACTCGGAGTGACAGGTAAGCAAACAAGGCAATATCTGATGTGATACATAACTGGCACAGAGCAATAAAACAAATGTATCATGACGGCAACCATTTACTGAAGGACAGACGACAGGAGGAGATGCAAGAGGTCCTCTAGAGAGAGTACGGGAGGTTATCGATGGGCAGCAAACCGCGAGAGGACTGAGAAAGATATATACAGAAGGTTGTCGAGGGACGACACCGCGGACTGGAAGAGAGTACGGATGACGACGCCCGTGAAGTTCCTAATACAGAAGGAACAATTATCTTCGTTCTATTCGATCTGCCTATGGGAGACTACGTCAAGCTCACTTTTTCAGCTATTCGAATTTTGCAACAAGGTTGACAAGTAAAACGGGCGTCACTGAGGCGGCCCGACAGTGACGCCTTCGGAGGTTTCTGGGGTCTTAAACGTTGTGAATGCCGATATTTTAGGGTGTTCGGACTTTGTTCCAGAGGCGAAGAAGCTTTGCGCGAGGGTCTAGCGTGCTAAGTATGTACTCATTAATATTGAGCGCAACACGCTGTATATGTAAACGTTGACAGAATCACAGCAACTACGTAAGTCACATACTTCCATTTCTCTCTCCCCCCTGCGTCCACCTAAGTATGTCCACCACAGACCAAGACCCACACAGCCCATCTTCACAGCCCTACCCAGCACCTCTCGATACCGACCTCCCAGCCAGCCAGTAGGTGGCATGCTAGACTGAGTTAAGTGTAATACTGATGAACTTGCAGGGATGGGGTCAAACCGCGTGTGGCGAGTGAGGACCCTCCCGTATCAGACACGCAAAAAAGCACATTTTCACAACCCTGTCCTGCACCTCTCTTAGTCTATCACCCAGTCAGCCAGTAGGTGGCACACTAGACTGAGTTGTGTTACAGTAATACTGACAGACTCACAGGGATGAGATCAAGCCGCGGGCGCCTACTGCGGAACCTCCCGTGTCCATCGACGGAGACCTTGCTAAGAATATGTGAATGTCAACCGAAGTACGGTACACTTGACGTCTGACCATATTGTGTTAAAGTTTAAAAACCATGAATGAGACCCTCGATGTCCTTCGAGGGTCTACTATTGCGCAAGAACACGGAAAAGATGCCGAGTCGAAGTTCTGGGTGACCTACAAGAAAATTTCGAATGAGTACGATGACGACTTCCTCGAGCGCGCCCACAACGATATGGGAATGATCTTGACTTTTGTCCGTTCGTTTCTCCCTGTGTCAATGTAAATCTAACACGCAAGCCAGGCTGGTCTATTCTCAGTCGTCACCTCAACCTTCATCATCGGAATGCAGCCTAACCCGGGAGACACCACAAATGACCTGCTGCTGCACCTGATCCAAATCACTGCTTATGGCCCAAATTCCGTACCTGACATCAGCAGTCTTTCCTCGTCCACGGGCTATTCTTCTTCCACAGTCTGGATACAGACGCTTGCCTATGCTAGCCTCGCGTTTAGCGTCCTGGCTGCGTTCGGAGCTGTCATGGGGAAGCAGTGGCTTACCACTTACAAGACAGCTCGGGGACGAGGAACTCTGGAGGAACGCGGCATACAGAGGCAGATGAAGCTGGATGGGCTAGAGTATTTCCACCTGCAAACCGTCTTGCAGGCATTCCTCGTTCTCCTAGAAATTTCGCTGCTGCTCTTCGGCTTCTCACTCAGCGCCAACCTGTGGATGCGGCAAAGCACAATATCCAGCATCGTCATCTTCACCACAGCTTTCGGTGTCTTCTTCTACGTGGGTACTATCCTCGTGTCAGTGTGGCGTCCGGATAGTCCTTTCCAGACACCGGGATCAAAGCTGGCTGCAGCCCTCTGCAATGAATTACTTCCATTTAGATTGACTTTCCTGACTTTGTCTCCTACCATATTCAAGAATCGTTCCCACATCTCACAACAATCACAGCTAGCTGGAGATCCCGGCGAAGCACAACAATCAGGGCTTGCTGAAGCTCCTGCTGAGGTGCAACATTCAGAGCTAGCTGAAGCTCCCATCGAGGCACGACAATCAGAGCTAGCTGGCGCTCCTGCTGATGCTCCTGCCAAGGCGCAACAACCAGAACTACTGGCACCAAAATCGCCTGCAGTTCAAGCCATCCGCGAAAAAATCCTTCCAGATAGATCGACTCTAGGTCATAACATATCCGGTAAATCATCTGCAATACGCTGGATACTAGAGACATCAACAAACCCGGAGGTTGTCGAGGTCGCGGCTGTGATGGTACCTCTCGTTCAATGGCCGCCGAAGCTTGACGTTTCCGCAGCATATGCACGCCTACGTGATACCTTCATGGCGTGTCGTGACCATGACCGGGAAGAGCTATTGATGAAGTGTGGCAAAGCCATGGCTCATCTTTGCATTCAGTCGGTCAAAATTGATCGAGGACTTCTTAGGAGAAATCGGAATACTCGGCATTTGTGGGGAGGCAAGAGTCGTTTCATTCGCGATGCGTTCATGGCTGGCCGTGACGCCTACCATCGATTTGTGCACGAACCAGAAGACAGCGCTCGACAGAAGCACCAGGCTGATGCACGCACTGCTATGAGAACAATGGTTGCCCACGGACTGTATGATCAGCTTTCACCTCCGGACAATGAAAAATTGATCTGGGATGGTGATCTGCGCTGGTGTTGTAGTGACACCCAGTGGGACAGCTGGCCCGGGTGTGAAGAATTCGACTGGGTCGTTGACTACCTGGCGAACGATAACCTCAAAAGAGACGATAAAACAGAAGGCGATGCTTTGCTTGTACTGAGTGCCATGCGGGGACTAGGGAGCTCTTCCAAGCGACCTTCCTATATCAAGGCGCTTATCCGTTGTATGCACCCCACCAAACCTCCCCGAGTCCGACATGCCGCGTTTAGAGCTGTCTTTGACGCTCGAGAGGAATTAGCCTCTATCACCACTGACCCGACTTGGGTGCGACAAGGCGTCGACGCAAAACTCCTGAATCAACTTTCTTGTGCACTTTTGACTGCCGTATGGCCAAATCATGACCAGACAGTTCACGGCAGTGCACCCGACGCCACTTTGCACAAGAATCGAGACCGTCGCTACATACAACTCATGTTCACCCTGACAGAGCATGACGAGTGGTGTCAACATCTGACCCGTGATGACCATCTCGGGCGCTGCATTTCTTTGGTTGACGAAGCCTGTAATAGAAATTGGAATGTCATGCACTACCTTCCTGTGATCTTCGGTCGCATCAATATCTCGCCGGGCAAGGATTTTCCTTTCAGCCCTGCACAGGAGAACTGGCGGAAAGTCCTCCAAAAAACATGGCAGCAGTTCAACGCTGGCGACCAGTGGTGGAAAAACGACTACGCGGATACAATACTAGCTCTCGTGACAACGACGAAACTGAATTTGCGAGGCTCGGATGATAGTGTTCTGAGGAAGTGGTTTGCAGAACTGGCAACAGAGGTAGATCAGGCTATAGGAAATCTGCAGAGTCAAGCAGACGATGTGAACGGTGTAGCTCAGGACACAGTTAACACTGCGATATCCCGGGCGCAGGAATTGCGCGATGATCTGATGAATCATCACAAAGGGACAGCGGATCTGTAAAGGGGTCATGAAGGACATACTCTGTAGCGAAGCACTTTTATGCATTCGTTGCGTACGTCGCAGTTTCTTCCTGTGTTTAGATCCTCGTTAACGTTTACTGAAAGATAGGCTGTAGTACTTCTTATGTTTTACTCGTACCAATTTTTATCTGTTCTTGGAATCCAGCGGCGTCGGCGACTGGCGCATTTTCGCGCCGCTGGTACATCTGATGGCACGTTTGCTAAATGTTTACTGAAAAGCCGGTCTAATATCCCACTCGCTTTCATGCAGTGATTGAGGTAAGTGTTTTTTTGTCCTTCCCTCAGATTTTTCTTATCCCGAGCTTCTCGGAAACAGCCTATTTTGGCTCTTTCCACTCCAAGGTCTTGATAACCATAGTCAAGCGATAGCTATCTTCAGCCCGTACGTCCACGATCGACATATGCCTTATTTATGGTAGCCAGGCCTTGGTTTTGCAGCGGTGAAGTTTTCGTCCAGCGCAGATGGCCCTGCATAACCACCGTGAATTTCGAAGAGGCCAAATTACAGAGCGACTTTCTAACGGTGTTATAAACATTGACTTTTCACCTGCACCCTACGACGTTCTGTCCTGTTGACCACGAACCTTCTGCGGAAGACCAAAACTCAAACGTTGCGCAGGAGTTTTGGCATCTATGGGGCGGCCGTGCTGAGCTTCATCAATTCAAGGATGGTCATGTTGTTTGGGAAGTTACAATGTGCGATGCGTGCCCATATCTGACGCGCAACAGGAAGCCAAGCTAACCGGTGCCCGCGACACTATCGTGCCGCACATCGCCCTTGGAGTACAGAGTCTGCGGCGATTATCATGCATTTTGGCTCAACTGTTTTAGCCCAAAGTTAGAAGTAGGGCATCTCAGCAGCAAAGCGGCTCCGAGCAACGCCTTTTTGTTTACACCAGAACTTTCAGCCTATAAAATGCCTGCCTGCTACTATGGCTTTTCCTCATTCCCTTCTACAAACACCATCATGTTGATTTCCCGCTCAATCATTTTTGCGGTGCTCAGCTTCCTCGCTGGCGCAAATGCATGTGTACAGTGCCCAGCCACGTTGCAGGTCGACGATAGAACCTCGCACCTATACGAGGCCTTCCCACTGGTAAAAAACCAGAGCAGATTTTGCGTGTGCGTCTCACCCACACATCTTCACTCGTTGAACAAAGTAACTGATAGGCTGGTAGTTACAACGACGACAAGTTGAATGGCGACGACTCATCGGTGGCCTGTGAGTATGACATAGTAAGTGCTTTCTGGATATTGTGCAGCTCATTGTTCTCGGTGACATGCTAGCGATCATCAGGAGAACGGCCAGCTTGTGGAGGGGTATCGGTCTTGTCCGTATAAAGCAACTGTGAAGAATAGCTGCTGAACGTGATGTGAAGAGGTGGGGGAGACGAGACACCTAACAGGAGGAGCAATGTTTGTCGGCAGACAGCTGGTCAGTTGCATACCAACCCCTATTAAAATACCCCTTGAGGTGATGATAAGTACTTGCATGAGTTGTATCAGGCATATGGCGATATGTAGCTTTCAATTCAAAAGGTGTATTCAAGCAGTTTGCATTCAGAATCAGATGGGCTATGGGGTGGTTGGTGGGCGGAAATCGTTATGGAAAATTCCTGAATGAGATTGATATCTTCCACAATCGAGGTTCTCAAAAACCCTGCTGGTAGACCTTATAAACGCGAGTAATTGCATTCCCCCGATGATTTGCCATTCCCCTGATGCGCTGTTATGTCGGTCGTCCAAAAAATTCTGCAAGCAAGGTTCGAAGGCCTCGGGGAAGGGAAAGGGCAATGAGATTATTCTTGACTCAGACTAATCTTCGTACATATATTGTTTTTCTCCTCAGTGCATGTACATACCCTTTTTGTGAAATATGTCCACTCACCTGCGGGTGACCCATACCACCTGCGTGTACACCCGTACCCGTGATGCTCTGACCCGGGCGAGTATGGGTAGCCCGCCCAGAACTCTCCAATCCGTGGGTCGGGTGCAGGACCTGCACCCGGAGAGATAGGTGCCCTGGGCACGGTCACGATATGCCATCAACAACATAGAGACAAAATATGTCTGCTCAAAGGTATGCTTCGATACTGCATCCTCGCCTGCATAGATAATATCGAGCATCATATTTAGATTAGTATCACTTAACCATTCCCTGCATGCAAAGTTCGCGAGATCATGGATCGGGGCCCAATCACTGAAGCCTGATGTCGCACCCGATCAGCATAATCTGTCCATGGAAGTGCGGAAGGCGCATGCCGTGGGATTAGACTCCCGTTTGGTCAGGAAAGTCTCTGCATGATGCCACTTGTATTGGATATTAAACAAGGCAGGCACTTCAAGCCAAAATGTCAGAATCCAGAATGGAAAGCATTGTTCTGTGTCAGTATGCATTTGCTCTCGCTGTCTTCTTTGCATGATCTGCATGATTTGCACAGTGCCGGGAGTTCAATCAATGATGATGCACGAAGGCTGGACCATCGCAGGGGTCATTTGGCTTATTAGCACTTTATTAACCCCGAGCGGCACCCATGTTATTAACAAGTTATTAACATGTTGTTATTAACACGGCTAATAAAAACCGGGTTTTTGCCCGTACCCTAGTTCCTACAGAGAGTTCAGATGAAGTTAGACATCACATCCTCATATATCTTTGCATATTAAGTTGAAGAGTTATCGTTAGAGTGCTGTAAAAAAAAGTAAGCTGCATGGCTTGCATCTATAGCTCCGCAGCACGCTGCTGGCAAGAGTTCACACTCACAGGATGGGGTCTGGCCACTGGAACGTCGTGGCTAGTTCATTTGGGAGCATTGACATGGTGGGCATAATTCCATTCTCGCCAGACTCGTCGAAGTGGATACCAGAGTTAATAACGCTTGTACATTGTATATTATAAGGTGATATTGGTGGAACCGGCTTGGAGATGCTAGAGGAACATGCGGGGAGTGCATCAGGTACAAAGCCTTTGCACAACAATAGACAACAAATTTGGCTCCGTTAAGTACAAAGTTCCCATAATGTTTGATTGCGCTGTTGCTCATATACTCACACAGTATTCATGCATCATCGTCCCAGGGTCTCGGAGGTATAGTTTCTAATCTGGTTGTCGTCGCATCAAAGCGCTACTGGTCCGCTCGAGTGAGCCTGAAGATGAAAACGCTCTAGAGACAGTGCAGCTAGCGGTCAGCGGTCAGCGTGTAACTATATCGACATGTGTACGTCTTCAAATATTCTGTGATCTGAATCCTCTTCTCCTATGTATGCTGGCACTGCCTGCATTTTATTACCTTCCCAGAATTAGCATTTGGGCGAGAGAGTTGTGGAATTGCATGGTAAAACTCATTTGTCTACATCTCGGCGACTGTTTGATTCCGTGGGATCTCCTGTGAAGGGGCTTCCAGGGGCCATCGGTCACAAGGTTAGGCTGTCGTAAAAGATAAGAAATGCGGTTCCTTAATGTGTAAGCATTCACAGTGACACAGATACACTCCTACCATTTCCCCCTCCTTTTGTTCACGAGTCTATCTCCACCATGAACACGCAAAATGCACCTTCACAACCCAATCCTGCACCTGTAGACAAGTCAGTGGCAAACTAGACTGAGTTAAGATTAACACTCATGGGCTTACAGGGATGAAATCAAGTTGAAGGCAGCAAACGAGGAACCTCCGATGTCCATCGAGGGAGGCCTTGCTAAGAATATGTGAATATCGACTGATTAGCACGGTACAATTGACTCTGACTATATTATGTTAAAGTTCAAACACTACTATTGCAGAAGAACTTGGGAAAGATGTCAATTCGAGGTTCTGGGCGACATACAAGACAATTTCGAACGAGTACGACGACGACTTCCTCAAGTGGGCAGATGACGATATGGGCATTATCCTGAGTTTTGTGTGTTTGTTTCTACGGATGTAGATGCAAATCTAATGGATGAATCAGGCTGGTCTATTCTCAGCCGTCAACTCTACATTCATCATTGGAACGCAGCCCAACCCGGGAGACACTACAAATGAACTCCTGCTAGACCTGATCCGAATCACTGCTTATGGCCCAAATTTCGTACCTGACATTGGCAGTCTTTCATCGACCACAGGCTATGCTTCTTCAATGGTCTGGATGCGGGCCCTTTCTTACGCTAGCCTGGCATTTAGTGTCTTGGCCGCGTTCGGGGCTGTCTTGGGAAAGCAGTGGCTTAACTCTTTTAAGGCAGCTTGGGGACAAGGATCTCTGGAAGAGCGCGGCACACAGAGGCAGATGAAGCTGGATGGCCTAGAGCATTTCCAACTGCACGCTGTCTTGCAGGCATTTCTTGTACTCCTCCAGATTTCGCTACTGCTCTTCGGCTTATCGCTCAGCGCCGGCATTTGGATCCAGCAAACGACGATAGCTAGCATCATCATTTGCACCACAGCCTTCGGCATTCTCTTCTACGCAGGTACTATTCTCGTGTCAGTGTGGCGTCCAGACAGTCCTTTCCGCACACCAGGGTCAGAGTTTATTGCAGCCATCTACCAGAAATTCCTTCCACTCAGATCGACTTTGACTCCTACCCCATTCACCAAATCGTCCGCCATACGCTGGATACTAGAGACATCAACAACCCCAGAGGTTGTCGAGGCTGTGGCTGCAATGGTACCTCTTGTGCAATGGCCACTGGAGCTTGATGCTTCAGTCGCATACAGACGCTTACGTGACCACTTCGAGGCTTGTTGTGGCAGTGAAGAGCTATATGTGATGTGTGGCAAAGCCATGGCCCACCTCTGCAGTCAGTCAATGAAAATTTCGCCGAGACTTCTCTCCAAAGATAGGGATACTTGGAATTGTTGGGGAGGCAGAAGTCGTTTCATTCGCGATGCATTCATGGCTGGCCGTGACGCGTACCATCGGCTTCAAAGTGCACGGGAACACGTCGTGAAACAGACACACAAGGCTGACGTATGCACTGCTCTGAGAACAATGGTTGTCCACAGACTCGACTCACAACTTTCACTTCCAAATGATGAGGTAGTGATTTGGGATGGTGACCTGCAGTGGCGTCACAGCGATGAGCAGGAGCCTGGCTGTGAAGAATTTGACTGGCTTATCGATTATCTGGCGGACGAAGCAGAGAACAAAACAGATGATGAAACAAAAGGTGACTCTTTGCTTGCGCTGAGTGCCATGCATGGACTAGGGAGCTCTGCCAAGCGACCTTCCTACATCAAGTTGCTTATCCGTTGCATGGGCCCCACCAGACCTCCTCGAGTCCGGCATGCTGCACTGAGAGCTGTTTTTAACGCTCAAGATGAACTTGCTTCTATCACCTGTGATTCGATGCCACAGGGTGTCGACGCACAACTCCTGGATGAGCTGTCTTGCGCTCTTTTGACTGCCGTACGTCCAAATCATAACCAGACAATCTACGACAGTGGACCCGACACTGCTTTCCACCCAAAACGAGACTTTTGTTACCTCCGCCTCATCTTCGGTCTGACAAAGAACGACGAGTGGTGTCAATGTCTGACCCGTGATGGCCATCTCAAGCGGTGCATTTATCTGGCTGATAAACTCGATTTGTCGAAGAATGCCAGTCTCACATCTTACCTTGTTGTGATCCTCGGGCGCATTGATCCCTCTGGCAAAGATCTCAGCCCTGCCAAGGATGGGTGGCGAGAACACATCGAGAACTCGTGGGAGTATGCACTGGGCCTCGCCGACTTTGTCGATGCAATTCCAGCCCTCGTGACAGTGATGAGGTTGAATTTGGCAGGCTCGGAGAAGGATGTTCCGTGGGTGCAGTCAGTGGACTTCATTAACAGGGTGTGTTGGACTTTGTCCGAAGTACAGAAGGGACAAGCAGACTTTGTGAATAATGGTGTAGCTCAGGCTACAATCGATACTGCAATATCCTTGGTGCAGGGCTTGTACGACGATCTGAGTGGTATGATCGAGGACTGGAACTCGGAAACGGACGATGGAGCTTTGGGGTCGTGAAGGAAATGTACCTCCAGCCAAGTGTTTTTACGTATCTGTCACTCACGTCGTTATTTATTCCTATGCTGAGGTTTACTCAAATAATGACCACCCTACTTCATATTACGTGCTACTCGTACAATTGTATCGGTGTATTGTCTGTAAGACAGACTGCCGTCTCATGTATCAAATACAGAGCCAATGATTACATCTGTCGTATAAAAAATATAAATCTATCATGCTCATGTGACGAAGGGAACCGGAACACTCTACATGTTCTACGTCTCGGCCCTTGAAAGCCTGCCATGTCAAGGGATCATATCAGTGTGCATGGCGCAGCATATAAAAATGTGCTTGCTCGTCGAAGTGAGTACTTCTTTTACAAGGAACAATGCTTTGATACGCTGCCCACACTGGTGCATTCCGTGCTGGCCCCTCGAACCGATGACAACTGAGTCAGGTCGGTCGGTACAGAGAAGTCTGCTGTGGTGACCTTGGTAGCAATAAACTCGACAATTACCTGTGATGTACACAATGAGAAAAATCCCATAAATATGATGTCCACGTACCTTCCATTCCGGATGGCATTTGGTGCGTTTCTTCTGAATCTGGTATAGAAGTTTCATGGGCGTCTTCTAAGTTCTCGAATGACTTTTTCTAAATCGTTTTCTAATGTTTGCGCAGCAGATGTTGGTCACTCACCCAAATATTCTGGATTGATAAGATCCAGAGCAGAATATATGATGCGAGGCATAGATGTCCGCAGGCTGAGTAAGTTGTGGGCGCTTAACTGTCATAGCAAGGATTCAACTCGTCCCCGTCCTGCATCAAGCTGTCCAGCGCCCAGTCAAGGGCCTGACATCTGCTTTCAAGTGAACTGGATGCACAAAGTAATATCATCATCACTCTGTCTATAATCTAATTGAACATGTAAAGTAAATAAGGACATGGACCTACATGAACGCAGTGGAATGTTCGAAGGTGTCAAACGATATCTTGGGCATGTAACCTTGCCCAGCTACAGATAGGACCGTTCTCTACTGGATGTTCACTGAGGGAAAACGTGAAAGCGATGTCAGGGCTGGGTGAGTGAGCAAAGAGAAGGGGCATAAATGCATGGTATGCAAGCATGAAAACTCACGGGGGCAGGAAGAGAACTGGGAGAGCTCGGCTGCAAGCGTAACATTTCTGGGATATGTATACTGCTCAGACATAGCATGTGATACTTCGTAAATAATTATCAGCTTACCGATATTACATAGCTAATGGCTACTCAGCAGGAACATAGAGAGAAAAATAGATCAAGAGTGAAAGTGGCAGACATACCAGACTATGTTGGTTTTGAAATACCAGTCGGTCTTCTAGCAAACACTTATCAACACTTCCGGTCAGGGTCACCTGAGCTTTGATATCATGGTGATATTGATGATGTTTGAAGGACGTGGGGAGGTAGAAATGTAGAGGAACGTGCGATGAATGGTGCAGACTGATACAGACCGCGCTAGTGTCATGAATGTTACCAACTGCATCTAAATTTCGATTATCAAACCCTAAGTCACCTTATCCGATAAGATTAGATTAGATAGATCCCTGATAAGATAAGATGGATAACCAATTAACGATCACTATCTTCACTTCACATCTATACTACATCAATGTCATCCATCTATATCTGTAACCCTAGACATACGAAGTCATCACATCCTTAGAAGTCCTACGATTAGGCAACGGGTTACATCATAAGCATCTACACGCCTCTATGATCAAACCATAACCGAGAGTCCTTTACGAGTTATCTCTCGAAGAGTCATCATCCCTTTACATCACACACCTTTACTTCTCATGACATGTTAAGAGTTACCTCTGTCATTCACCGAACCCCTTACATTAGAACCTGTTGCACAGTCACAGCTAAACCCTAAACCGCTATCACAGAAGCACCGCTCATAGAGAAGCATGCTCATTACCAAAGACCCTGGGGAACCCCTAGATCCGATCGTACCCGATACATCTCCAGATCCTATCTCTTATCGAGATCCTTAATCACCGCTTGAGACTTCTTGACACAGAACTCTCTCACACTTTTCTTCATATCCTGTTTACCCTGAATAGAAGCAGAACCCTGAGACCCTGCTTAATCACCGATACCCCTAACCCCTATGAACCCTTTACCCTTTTCTTCTTGTAGTTGATTGGTTGATAAGACGCCCTATACCCTAGGCGCAATGTTATGATCTTATATAGATATATCACTACCTTTCATACTCAGATATCTCCGCTCAGAGAGTAGTATATAGTTTAGGTCGTAGTCAGTAGTACTCCTTAGACTTAACCTCTTCGTTCCTACCTTGTGTAGACAGAGACGTTCACTCTCAATCTTATTCTTGCTCTTATCTTGACGAGTCCTAGTGGTTGTGTGAAAACCTTTACCATTCGGTGAACGTTGATCATAACAGCTAGCAAGTATTTGGGTAAGTAGAGCTCTCAGCTCATCGTGAAGGATCAGGATTCAGGACATGTTCAAAAATCATGGATTGTATGTAATCAGGTATGAAGCCTTTGCACAACAATAGACAACAATTAATTTCCACCCCTTGCTTCATGATCCACGCTACTTACTTCCCAATGCGATTGCGCCTCTCGACTTATCGTATCTAGGGAACTGCACTGGGTAAACCCGCGGGTATGGAGAGTCATACCCGTACCCGTACCTGGAGATATACCCATACCTGTGGTGCGGGTACGGGTTTTACTATGGGTATCGACATAACGGACCCGGGGTATTACCCGTGAGGGGTATACCCGCGGGTCACTATGAAGAGCATTGTAATGAATAGTACTACTAGGATACTAACAACAAATGTAATACTATTCTACCTGGATTCTGTCCCAACCCTCATCCATTGCTTCCTCTTTGCCAATGACATCTGGGAGCTTAGAGGCACGAATGATATCCTCAGATTCGACCAGGCCCAACTTGCTCCATAAGCCGACACAAAGCAGTGCGCGCATCGACTGCGCTGATAAACGATTTCTGATGTGTGACAGGACAAGACGCCCACGACTGAAGAGACGTTCAACATCTACAGAAGTTGCTATAGGCAATATAAGCTTACAAGGTATTAAAAATAATAATGCCACATACCAGGGATAGTTAGATAGTCAATGGCCATGCACGACAGGCGGGGGAATGATTTGTGATGTTCGCGCCACCAAGCAATAGGGTTGGTGACATGTTCCACGTCCGTACTAAGGTAACGGTCGAGTTCGGAGCCTGAGTTAGTAGGTTTGGGGGCTACAAGTGCTGGGAGATTGTCAAAAATGTTGTCGCTCTAAGATTGAGTCAGTACAAACACTAAGTAAAAAGCAAATAGAAAAACACCATCAATATATCACCATTTGACTCCAAGACGTCCTCCTCACACCCGAAATCAGAGTCGTCATCAAGTGACAGGTACGAACGTTCGAATTCTTCACGCACAAGTTGCTCCGCAGTTTGGATCCAGTCGTCTTCCCAGTGTGCTGCCTTGAAGTATGATAGTTTATGTTTGGGATGTAACACTAGTATAATAATATTAACTGTCAGTAGAAACTAGAAAAAAAAGAATAGAACTTACCCATTGCGATTCGATATGTGTGAGACCTGTCTGTGAGCTGATAGTACCAGTTGAGTGTCTTTTTTGCGAGCTGAACTGCCGAACGAATTGAGGGCAGATATTTCTTGTTGCGTGAATAGGAGGTGAGCATCTTGTCGACGTGATCCATTGCTGGGATCACTGTTGCAAGGTTAGGTGTTGCGCGCGAGAAGTAAAGTGTGGCGTCCTTTAGAATCTAACAAGAGCAAACAATGTAGCATAAGCATGTGTGAACATCGGAAAAGGAGCACACACCTTAAGTATATCCCTCAATTGTCCTAGTATCACCCACTCATCATCCTCCAACTCATACTTCCATAAACCTAAGTCCCACCATTGTGTAACGGCATTCACGGCTTCACAATGGTCCAGCGCATAGTCCAACATATCGAATGTCGAATTCCAGCGTGTGGCCACATCACGTGGCATGAGGGTTTGGGGTTCCGACAAGTCCCTCAGGATGCCATGCCACGCAGGAAGGATGATAGTAGTCGAGTGTATGATCTTGTATGCGAGCTTGCGCACCTGGGGAATAAGCTGAGTTCAATGGCAAGTTTTCTTTTGTTGCATGCACTTACCTTGACAAGCGCTAACTTAATCGGTTGAATCTCTTTGTTCAGTGCGACCCGCTCACCCTCATCCAACAACTCAACCTCATCAACAAATCTGTCATCATTATCTACATCATCCATCATCCCTGGATCCTCTTTGACCTCCGCGCTGAGTTCTTCCAGCTCCAGCTCCATGTCAGTACTATCAACTTGGTCGGCTCCTTGTTTCTTCACAACTAGATAGGTAAGTTTTTACCTTCGTGACTTCAACCACGTCTAATGGTATGCTTAGCGGCTCCCCCTCATGCTCGAAATGGGCCGAAAACGCGACCAATGCACGATGGTTGGGCGATGACCAACCATCAGTGGTAAAATTAATTTTGCCGTCATATTCCTGGTATGTCTTGATTATCTGTCTTTAAATTAATGAAAAATCACTCACCTGTAGCATTGTAGCAACATGCTGTCGAGTTCGCACAAAGACATGCCGCACATCACGCGAAACAGTGGATGGGGAAGGTATGTAGTATTTGGGCCTCCCCGTCTTCATCAGTGACTGAAACGCACGGTCCTTGACAATGTCAAATGGATGCAGGCTCTCGGACACCCAGCGCACAATTTCGGCCCTGAAGGCAGATGCTTTCTCAGATTCCCAAGACTCTGATGAGACTTTGTTCATACCTCGTTTCTGCACGTGTATGTTGATGGTGCAAGTATGTAACTTTCCCTTTCCCTTTGCGTTCAAATGATGCAGTGATTGATCTGTTTTGCAGGAAACTACCAACAATCTCTTGGCGCACCTCATTGGCATCCTTGGCCTGATCAGCAGCTTTCAACACTTCGTCACCCCAGCACGAACGCACGTGCTTCCGCATGTTACCAGTCGAGCGGGCATCACCTTTGTCAAGGTACCGCCACACTTTGGTCTTGCACCTGTTGGCTTGGCACTTGAAATCATGAGCGCGGCGGCCATTAATTTCGATAATCTGCGGTGTCGGATCAAAAAACGCGTAAACTGGTGAGTTCCAATCTTTCATTAGGCGTTCTGTTTTGTACTTGATTAATATAATATTCATATCAAGGTTATTGCACATACGGAGCTCGTCTTCTGCCGTCTCATCAGCTTCGTTGTCGGCCTCTGATACTGTGGTAATGGTCTCAGTTCTGTTGTTGTCGTCTTCGTACAATGCATTCTCTTCCTCCTCGGTACGCACAACAGCACGCTGACTCAAAACCGACTCTGGACGTGGAGACAATGATGCTGTTAATGAAGCTGTGACAGGCCTATTTTTGTCAACTGGCTCGTCTTCGTCCGCAGATCCTGCACCATTGGTGGGCGTGTTACCAGGCAGTAGGGTTTTTTTTGCCTTCTTCAGGTTCATGTTCTGACTATCTCCACTGCCATCATTTGCCCGCTTCTTCAGCGAAGTTCTGATAGTCTTCTCTTCTAGAGTGGCTTTGGCCTTCCCGGTCATTTTGATAACTCGTTTGGCTGTGGCTGAGGTGAGCTGCATGATGGGCAGTACTAGTAGGTGATGAAGGTTTGCGAGTGTCACGCAGGACATTTATATTCGTCTTTAGAGTTTGACAGTTTCTTTAGAGTTTGACAGTTTCTTTAGAGTTTGACAGTTTTTGACTTGTTTAGGTAGTCAAAATTTATTTAGATGCCGCACCGATTTTTATTGACACCCGTGGCAGGGGTACGGGTAGGGGTATGGGTACCGTGACCCCAGACCCGTACCCGTACCCCAGTGATACCTGTACCCGTGACCCGTGCGGGTTACCCGTACCCGTGCAGTACCCTAATCGTATCCCAGGGGCCAGGGAGAGTAAACATAGTCCCTGATCTGGATGTTGTCGCATCGAAGTGCTGCTGGTCCTGTTTGAATGATCAACTGCTCCAGTGCTCAGCGCCACCACCATGGGTCTCGGCAACTTCGAGACTCCTGCTTCAAGGACGTCCACATGTTTGATCGTTCGGAATCCCCTGTCCGGTGACTTCCCGGGGCTATTGGACATAAGACTTAGGCTGTCGAAAAAGACAAGAACATGATTCCTTAATGTGTAAGCACTCGCAGCAGCACAGGAGATAAGTCATATACTTACACCATTTCAGATTTCTCCCTCCCTGGTTTCACCTTCATGTCCACCACAACCCAGCGCGTGCAAAGCGCTCCTTTGCGACACAGCCCCACACCTGTCAATACCAACTTCCCGAACAGCGAGTAAATAGCAAGCTAGGCTGGGTTGAGAGGAACAATTATGGGCTTGCAGGGATGGGCTCAGCAAGCCGAATGCAGCTAGCGAGGAACCTGCGGTGTCCATCGAGGGTGGCCTTGCTCAGAAAATGTTGGACCCAACGCCTTTTTCAACGAGAATCGGGACGATTGCTACGTCCGCCTCATATTTTTCCTGACGAAGAACAACTGAATGGTGTCAATGTCTGACCCGCGATGGCCATCTCAAGCAGGTGCATTTCTCTAGTTGATGAAGTCTGTCAAAAGCGGCATTCAGATCTTGGACTCTTCCTTCTTTTGACTTTCGGGCTTGTCGTTCCCTCAGGCAAGAAAATTCCTTTCAAAAGAGATGGCGGCTACTCATCAGAAACACGTGGGAGTGGGGACGCTATAGCATGAAGGATGACGACTACTTCAATGCAATACCAGTCCTCCTGACAACGACGAGGCTGAATTTACGAGGTTCGGATAATAGCGTTCCGAGGGGGTGGTTAGCGGATCTCGCTGAAGAGGTGCATAAGACTTTGGCCGATTTGCAGCAGAGACAATCAATCTTTGTGCGTGACGGCGGGGCTCAAGCTACAATTGACTGCCGCATTATCCTTTGTGCAGGGCTTGTAAGACAATCTGAATCGTATGATCGAGCAGCAGAACACCTCATAAAGGGATAACAGATCTTTGGGGTCATGCATATGTAGCCAAGTATTTTTACGCATTTGTTGCGCATGTTGCGGTTTATTCATATGCTTATATCCCTGTTGAAGTTTACTTACAGACAGAATGACTACAGTATTTCATATTATGTTTTATCACTGCTTTGTCCACAAGAAATCCAGTGGCGTCGGCGACTGGCTCATCTTCAGCTCGTTGATCCGAAAAATCGAAGGACCGATGAGAGACTGTACTTACCAGCAATCATATGGGCCATAGCAGCGTCAAAACATCTGTGCAGTGCTTACCTGTCAAAATGAGTACTTGCCTCTCTTTGGGTCAGCTCGTTTTTTGACGAGCACTTTCCTGACCTTTCTGTCAGAGCGAACAATGATGATGGGTACGGGCAGTAAGTAATAGAGTCCACCTAATGTTTACTGATGCAACACTGACTCCGTATTATATAGAATTAAAAAAACTTTCCTCTATCTCAGCTGCAGAATTAAACATAGGGCATCAAGTCTGTGACGAAGTAGATGATGTAGAGTCTAAGTCCGTGTCCATGTTAAGTCTACATATCGGCAGACCTTGAGGCTTGAGGATCAAGCTTAGGTGATGACGAACTCAGGAGAAGCATTTCCAGAGTCACCAAACACTAGAAAAAACGCATGTAAGAAAGGTACTAATCAAACGACAAGCGATACATACAGACAACAATAGCATTGCCGCGAGGCGTCGCAGTTCTGAGGAACAGTGATTGAGACCTGACCATCAACGATAGGGAAATTCGCAGCCAAGGGGTGCTCTGAATTACTTTTCAACAACATTCAGGACATGGTTATGAAATGAGCATACCAATGTCTAAATTCTCGGACATGTTTTCCATGTATCCTAACAGCAGGAGACCAGTAGAATTCTGTTCCTCCTCAGGGATGTTGTTCGTCTCCCAGAGCACAGTCTGCGTGGAATTACGTTCCCAAACTGTCATAAGAGTAGGGCTGATGATAGTGGGGCTCCAGGCAAGCAGCTCGACGGTGTAGATGGGTGTAGCAGTAGCGACATAAGAAAATACCAGCATCAGGGAAGAAAAAATAGAGAACACCGTTGCAGTGCTAATCATTCCGAACACTAGGTTGATGTGACAGCTGCGAAACGCGAAGGGCTTTCGAGGACGGCGCAGATAAAATAGTTCGGACACAGCTAGGCCAATTCAAGAACGCCAGTGTTAAAAGTACATATTGCAACGACCTTTATACCAGGATATCAGAGGCTGTGATAATATGAAAAATCATATGTCAAAGGGTGTGTTTCATCACGATGAAACTGGAAGGAGGTTAGTATCACCGGTCCAGTAGGTGAATAGTCCATTTCGACTGCTCAATCAGTGGCGAGGTAGCAATTGCTGAAAGACCAGCGAGTCACCGCCTATCCGAGGGATTTTCAACACCTCACAAGCCACTTCTCACTTTTGATATGTAGTTGAAAGTCACCTGTCTTGTCAGTTACATATTCACCACTTGAAACAAAAAGTTGAGTGGCAACAGTGCCATCAAACTCACTGAAACACGTACCACGATTCCTCTTCCTCCAAGGTGCTTTTTCTTTTTGTATCAAATCGAGTCTTTTGGGGTCCAGTCAATGCAAAGGGTCCTCAAAAGTGTCGAATGATACTTCGGGCCCGTAGCCCAGCTACAGATTGGGCTGCTGCATGTTTACTGACGGGGAACACGAGAGGTGAGGCTGTGTGAGTGGCGAAGGAGGAAGAAGGGAAAATGGTGAAGGTATAGAGAACAACGGGAGGAGAGAGCCCGGCCGTGACGCGTGACGCGTATTGATTGCTTGAGCGCCAACACATATTGACTTTCACCTCTACCGGGCGAATCGAGAGAAATTTCTTTCAAAAATGGAAGTCGCAGATCGGCATATGCATTGCGGCCGGCTCAGAAGACGGTAGGATCAATTACGGGCGGATGAGTCGACAAGGGCGTTTTTACTGGAAAAGATGTGAGCTTTGATACAAATTTTCGTGTTTGATCGGTGCTGAACCTGCGGACCCGATTAATGATTAATGATTCCCGAACATGATTCAGAAACTATCTTTCTCAAAGGACAAAGGACATCACTTATTCTGCAATGTCAAAGTTTATTGATGTAGGCTCAAATAGGAACCCACCATGCCAAATGTTAGGTCTGTACAGCACAATCCATACACTGTGCAGGCTTTCGGTATGTTCTTGTCTGAACTCGGGTGTCATCTTCGCATTAAACCATGCAAATTTCAGTGTGTTTCAAAGGTGCGAAGGCAGGCAAGACTTGACTTTGTCTCATGCGGAGGCCTGTGAGTAACGCCCGCTGTCACCTTTCCTCACACTTTCTCCGACATCTACTCAGGCGGGATGGGAAATAAGAAAGTTACTCCATTTACCTATAGGACTGCATCTCTCGCCGTGCCTCCCTACTCCAAAGCCAACCCCAATCATGTGATTTCAGTCGGAAATGACACCTGAATCTTTGAGCCAGGCGTCTGGACGACCATAGTACAACTTGTTAAACTTGACGATATAGGCAGAGCTCATCATGAGCCATGATGATCGGGGGGTGATACTGAACCCTGTACCATAGGTGAACTCCAGCTCTGGATTAATGGTGTATGGGTGATCTACGCAGATGGGTTGATTTTCCGAGAGGATGAGGCATCCTATATCAAAGGTATGCATTTTCAGACATTTTTTTATAGGTGCGCGATTGCTTCCCTTGCTTGTTGTCCAGCAAATGCAATTCATTTCAAATCATTGACCATTGTGATCAGGACACAATACCGACTGGGCATCACCCAAGGATCAACGTACTTGGTTTCCGACATCTCTGGAGGTGTCATTCATTGAGATATTTCTCTGAACGAGCCCCCGCGTTCATTCGTACTACGTGTATTTCCACAATGCATCTCCAGTAAGGCAATCAGCCATATATGTTGCTTGATCGGCTCAGCTCATTTGCGCGACTTTCTTTTGTGGAGCGTTTGCCTAGTCTCGAATCAGATCCCAAATTGGGAACAGTACCAAGGGCTAGTAGTCGAAATTACTAGTACATCACGCTCTTAATGCACGTCTACATCTGCCTCGTCTGTGTTGAGTAGTCATTTTCTCTCTCCATTTTGTCTCAAAGCAATAAAAAATATATGGATCCACTTCGTTCACGCCTGGACACTCTCGACGACATCGAAGCTACCAGTTCTGTTGGATTCCGTTATAACGCCTTGCATCGACTTTCATGACCTCCCACAATAGCCATTGGTACTTCGGTCATATATTCAATTATTTGAGATCTTCTCTATTCTGGCAAGATCCCCATTGCTTGAGTGGCAGTGAAAGTTGTTCAGAAGCAAGCACGTTGAGTAACTCAGCAACACACTACTCACACCAACACTGCCCGACTGAGTCGGCACGCATTTCTGCCCAGGGCAGCACTTTGAAGAGGAGCAAAATGTGGGACAATTATCGCTGTCAGTGTCACTGGCAGATATTGATGCTGTCAAAGCAGCAAGGACAGCGAGGACGAGGGAGAAACGCATTTTTTGTGAGGATGTAATATGGGATCAAATAAATCTGAAGGGGACGGTAGGAACACGGCTTGCTTTTATGTGTTCAAATTGTTCTGGCAGAACTTCACGGCGATGGTAGGAAGAATGCATCTACCTGAAATCCTCTTTCGAACAAATGATATCTGCAATGCCGACAGAAAATCGACTTGCCCTTAGGCTATTTCTATCAGCAGAAGAACTCTAGGACACGATGGTAATAATGTGCATTTGCCTTGATGTTGGTCCTCGAGACACATGAAGTCAAACGCAGCAAAATTTGCGGAACATATAATTGACAACCCAGACGTCCAAGCCGTGCTTTGCGGCTTAGACCTCAGCGTAAATTATATCAAGTTATAAAAAGTGTTCCAATAACGAAACCATGGCTGCTAATTCTCGGTCACAAATGAAGACAGTACCATTCCCGAGCATAGATGATCTCTTACCTGGAGCTGGAGCCACTTCTCGCGGACATCTTTGAATGAGTAGCTTCTGGATATCACCTCATACAGTACGATGTACAAGTGATCACCAGCGGCTAGTTACTCCACTACAAAAAGTTACAACCACAGACCAGACCCAGCACATAGGACAAATAAGGCTAGCGGGTCACGTCGAGGAGATAAAACAAGTGCAAATATGATCTATAATGGCAAATTCAGTGTCGCACACCAATCATTATCGCCGGAATGAATACCACCGGGAAGAGTATTGCCTTATAGTCGAATCTGGTGAAAAGCCAAACAGTCTCGAGGTGGCGTAGCATACTGCGCAATGTGGTCGCTGCAAAGCCCTGTGAAAACCGCCCAATTGAACTCACCGGATTTTGCCGAATTGCCGTTGATGATATCCACAATCCTTGAGACTCAGTCAAGTGGTTGGAGAACAGCGCGCGGCCCCAAACTGACCTAAGGACTCTGCTCAAGGTAATCACATAGCTTATGACCCATTAATTGAGATTGCTCACAATTTAGACTGCGCAGGCTCAATCATGTGAATTGTCTACTCTACATGGGAGGACGAACACCAGCCCTACAACACCTCCAGCCCTAGACTAGAACAATTGTGAAGTGTACAACATGTCTCATTTACCTCGCGTGCAGATATCGAATTTTGTTGCATGGAGGAGCTCGAGTCTATATTCCACTGGGAGATCTTCCAGCCCTCCCACCGCCTGCAATTTGAGTCTTACCCCGCTTGATATTGACGAAGATGAGCTTCCTCTCGCATCTGTCGATTCTGTCCCTTTACTTGACTCCCATGAAAGCCTAGGCTGAGCACGGGACGAAGACGAGGGAACATCGCCGCCAAAGTCTTCGACCGATGGGCTGAGCGGATGGGTTGTGGGTACCAAGAAACGCATCCCCCCAGTCGCATCAGAGATACTGGGTTCGGATACGCCTGTTAGGAATCGAATAAAGATAGGGAGATATGGACGTTGGTTTGTACTGCGAGAGATGTCGTGCATGGTAGGTGGTGTCGTTCGAACACCTTGGCTAATACTTCGTTAGTTTAGCGGATGTCGCAAAGGAACTTGAACGTTACTGATCTTCTGAGTGTATCATCACTCTTGGACTGCGGCTATAGTAGCAGCCTAGGGACGACCTGTGTAGGCGGTTCCTTTCGCCTGACGCTCGTCTACTCCCTCTGATCTACCGTCATCCACTCCCACCATAACCACTTGGAATGGATGCGCTTGGGACACACGAAGGACATATATTTCTCCTATCGACATATTCATCATATCATCTCGGAGTCTCGGACTTCTGGCGATCAATCTCCAGCCAAAAGAATGTAGATGTATATGAAAGCGACGATTTCACGTTCAAACCATCTCGATCATATCATACCAATGTGTCGCCGTCCGCGTCAAGTCCAGTTGATATTCCGGTGTTACCAGTGCACTCATCGACGCCCAGAACTCACTGTCCCTCAATCCCTGCTGTGACCTCATACCCCCATCTGCGTCAGGCATGTTTGAATTCTAGCTTGCACGATAGACAGTGTATAGATATAGTAATGATTGTATTGCACTATGGCAATAAGACCAGGGGCATTCGCTCTGAAATTAGATGGCCCATTCAGCTTGTTTCCTGCATGCATAATACCATGTACATTATCTACACTGCTCTCGTTCGTAAAAACAATCTTATTCTGTACTCCGACGAAGTAAAATGAAGTTCATATCCATCCTGAGCTCTCAGCTAAGTTCGACAGACCTTCAGTGAGGATTGAGACAGGAGCTTAGGTGATGGTGAACTCAGGAGAAGCATTTCCGGAGTAGCCGGCAACTAGAAAAACTGGATGTCAGAAAGGCACGCGACCAAATGACAAGTGATACATACAGACAACAATAGCATTGCTGCGAGGTGTCATGTCCTGAGGAACAGTCACTGAGACCTGACCATTGATGATGGGGACATTCACAGCGAGGGGGTGCTCTGAATTACTTTCAATAACAGTATTCAGAACACGATTACGACACAAGCATACCTGTATCCGAAATCTGGGACATATTTTCCATGTATCCCAACAGCAGGACAGCAGTAGAATTATGTTCCCCCTCAGGGGTGTTGTTTGTCTCCCAGAGCACAGTCTGCGTGCAAGCAAGTTCCCAAACTGTCTTACGAGTAGGGTTGATGATTCAGAAGACACCACCTTGCGCTTCAATCTAAAGTTCACATCTATTGCAACAAATAGCGCATATTTCCATCTGCTCAGGTAATGTGTGAGCTCAGCAAAATCAGGGAAAGATGACCAACATCTTACCTGGTAAATAGAGGCTCCTTCTCCCAGTCTAGCGGAAGATTCTTCCCGGGCTGTGGGCACGCGGGGCAGAGAACAGCTAACTCTCCTTCGGCTGTAGCATTGACACCGGCAGGGTCGTGTCCCCTTCCTCCGCGGCCAAGTTGTTTGAGGTTACGCCATTGGCGTACCATCCGCATGAAAGCAGAATACCGATCCTAGAATATATCATTATCAGACAGTTGCAGGAATAGATTAAAATAAATACTCACCCTGATCACTACTTACCCAGAATTGTCGGTGCGCCTTGCGAGGGAGTGATAAAACTCGTAAGCAGATACCTTGCTTTCAAATGATAGAATATGAAAATGCTGCAGAACCGTAAAGGTTGCTGCAGTCCGAGGCTCTGAGACTGTGGCTGGATACCACTGCATATGTAATAGTTGTTTGTACTGAATCTGAGCTGAAGCGCAGCCACAGAAGTCCAGTGCAATTTCATGAATGCCATCGAGCCCGATGACCACAAAATCATCACCAGCAGCGGGAGAAGGTTTGTAGCACCTTTCTCCTGGGTTATGGCCAAGTTGTACTTGAACGCCAAGCTGTTTGAGTGTGATACACTGAAAAAAAGACCTGTTCCATATCTGACAATGATCAGTCACATGTTGACGCCAAAATAAGTGTGAAACACACCTCAATCCTATGCAAAGGATGATATACGTGGTTTTGAAGTGTACATTCGCGGCAGAACATTTGAGTGCCATGACAGTCAGAGCATTGGAATTGAGGCGATACTGCACCACATGAACAAGTGACACCCTCGGACCCACGTCCATTGAGGCGCATCATTTCATCCAGGAAGATTGGACATTGTGGAATCCAGGCGAGCAAAGGTCTATCCTTAAGTCCGATAAGTTAGCATGCCCAAACGAACATCAAATGAGAACACCCACCACTGCAGTCTCTTTGCGCTTCTCCGTGGAACAAATATCAACAATGTTGTCTGTAAGTGTTTCATCCTCAAATTGAGAGTCGCTGGGATGCTCAACACAGTCATCTATGAAAAATACGTTGTCATTTGATGAATTTTTGGGGGGAATTCCCGCAACATAGTGTGTTTGCAGTCGTGTGCTCCCTTCAGCAGTAATTTCTGCAGCACGAAGTCGTAAAAGATGAGGTTCAGGGTTGATAGAGACGGGGACAAAGACCTCCCGTTCAAGTGCAGGCCTCTTGGGGGGGCGACCACGGGGCATTGTGCAATGTGGTTAATCTGTCAGCTCAGGTCGGGCAGTCAGAGGATCCTCCATTTGTAATTGGAGGATCCCGCCAGTATATAATAAGGGACAAATTTGTCCCTCCTCACCCACCTCGTGAATCATGGCAACACCATCGAATGATAATGCCCCCCCACCGGCCACCGTTGAATACTTGTTGCGCCCCCGTTGAAGTGAGCCAATTGAAAGTTATATCTTGCCACGCACCTGACATTAAAAAAACAGACCGCAATCCGCCCCCAGCACATGTGTCTTGGCAAATTTGTTCATACATAGTGCGATATAATCAAACCCCAAACAGTGGCCCGATTTTCACGCCTGTGCAGAAGGACTGGTTGAAAGATCATATACCACAGTATATGCAGTGGCCTCCTACCTCAGATGAGACGATCACATTAATACAGACCATGATTATTGATTTTGACCGCATGTGGCCACTTCACCAGAAATTGTGGCCCGGGTTGAATATTCACATTTTGCTGAGTGACAGCATGCGTGCCAAATTGATGGCGGAGATGCTGATTCTTCGAGCAGTAAGTCAAGCTGTGCACGTAATATGCACTATGACTGACCTTGAATGCAGAATATCAAGAGCCACATGCTGTGGACAACCCGACGTAATCTGCGTCGTGAAGAGGAATTGAACGGGAATTGAACTGCAGAAATGGTTCTGGTACTGGGCGTTGGGCAAGCTTAAGAAGCTTGGTAGATAGTACTAGAGAATCCACTTACCCTGCTGAGGCCATACTTGAGAGCTTGAACGTGATTGATCACTGATCAATGAATCCCCAATTCCGATGTTACTGGGGAAGCCTGTGAGGGATTTGCCAAGATTAGTCAGCCGTACACCTGTTTGGTGTGGATTGTTACTAATACCTGGCACCTTTGTAGTCGCCATTTCCCAAATCCCATGGAAGTCATCCTCCATTTCTTGGACGTCCGACCCTGCCGGCCTATGGAGTATATATTCGGGACTGGTGAGTGATACATCACCATCTACTCAAGGTACTCACTGAACTCGCTATCATGACTCAGAATTTGCCTTCCTCCAGTGTCTTTCCCTCGATGATCAGAAGGCACTGTCTCAGGCCTTAGACATTGGCACAGACACGGGCACCGATGGTGATACATCCAATGGTGAATCCATTGATTCTTTTATATTTTCATTACTCACGTAGCTTCGGCAATGTTACAGATAACATCACCTTCAGAATAGGCCTGGCCCTGCCACTGGCAGCACCGAAACAGCATCTGGCCGCTCTTCCCGCTGTCTCTGATGACCCCCCTGCTACAACCATTGACAGTCTCAGGGAAGCTGCACCAGTTGCTTCTCTGGCGCAGCTGCTGCCTCTAGTGCTGGCACCTGCTCCTACTTCTGCCCCCGCAACTGCACAATGCTGCTGCTCCCACTGTGGTTCCTGCAGGAAATGTCACTGTCTATGTCGATTATGAGGAATATGACTCCTCTGATGACGAAGACGCAGCCACTGCAGCTGCCGCACTGGCGAACGATTCCACGTTGATTCATTACTGCGACTACCTACTTCAATGTCCCAGTTGACGCCACCCCACCGCTCTATTATGTGACTCGAGGTCACTACATTGGCATCTTTTCAGGCTGGTGAGCTTGATTTTCCGAATTTCTCATGTCTAGTAGCTCATTTCTTCATGGTAGGGGATGCAACCGGTCCAAAAGTGCTCAGTGTCTCTCGAGCCATCTACCACAAGGTGGATTCCATCGAGCAAGGCATAAACATCATGAAGGGTGCAATTGATCGTGGTGATGCTTCGCAGGCATTGTAACACAGTACTAGTGATGATTATTTAGTGAATTTCATGTATGTCCATAGCTGTCGCAAAATGAACGGTCTTTCTTGAATGTCGGTGTGCTTCGTCTGATCAAAACATATTGCAAACAAGTATTACACTACTGAGATTGTAGCAGCATACAAGCGCCGTGCCCATCAAGAACATTAAACTTAAGATATAAACCTGCCCTGTGGGGTGAGATCAATATTCGTAGAGTTCAATTTTGAAGGACGGTAAGAGAATGGTAGGATAAATTCACATAAAAATCCAAATTAATCTCCTACATGAAGCTTGCCATTCAAAACTCCTACGCATATATCGAGTGCCTCAATTGCAACTGACTTACTTTCAACTCACTTTTATGCACATGGCACGACCACGTCTACACAACACTAAAGAAGAAAAGGCAGAAGCTGCACGCACTTATAAACGAGCTTACTATGCACGGTACTTCACTCACTTTACTATCATTTCTCTTAATGATGGTGGACCCACTGAAACAGTCATCGCGATAAGCTATGTGCACAAAAAAAGGAGATATACAAGGGGGAGGAATACTAGGTGAGATACATACCAACCACTTGAATATCTGAACATCTGAGTCGCACAAGTTCTAGGCTGTGCAGTAAGCCTGCCACTGTAGGAAGGCCACACTCATATTATATGGCTGAGGAGAAGATTGAAGCCGCACATCGGTCCCGGAAAGCCTATTATGCTCGGTATGTCATTGACATATGAATGTTTC